TACAAAAGTTGAATTCGAAATAAATTATTTTAAAATGTGTAACATTTATACCCAAATAATCCTTTCTGGCAATATTGGCAAATTTTGGGTTAGTTTTTGTTCTAATTCAGACATTTTGAAAATAATAATGAAAACAAAAAAAAAAAAATAGACAATAATAATAAGTATATATAAAATAGTGTAAAAAAAAATTCTAGAATTAATTTGTTTAATAAGAAAAAAATTGTGTTTCAAACCTGCTTTTTAATAAATTTGGTTCAAATTTTTATTGGCAATAAAAAAGCAAAATAAAATTGAATGTTGCAACTCAAAGTGAAGTTGGCTTAAATAGTTATCGAGTATTATTTTTATGATTGGAATATTTAGTGTTTTGAAAAATTATCAATTATTAAATTGTCAGAATTATAAGGAGGAGATTAACAATTGTTTTTAATTTAAAAATAGCCTATGTTTTTTTTCATTTATAACAAGCAAAAATTTAGATAGTACTTTTAATTTGTGATTCGAAGAATAGATGGAAAATCAACAGTAGGGGAAGTTTTCTGTAGGAAAATTAGAAATTTCTAAAAAAATGGCTATTTTCAAATTATTAGATTTATCCTTTTGATTAATTATGATAAATAATTTTAATGTATCTTATTTGAAACAATTTGAAAATGTTTGGAAAACTACTATACAACTTGTAATGCTTAAAAAAAAAAAAGAATTAAAACATTTTGCTTAAAATTTTCAGGATCTAAATAGTGAAATATTGAAACTAATTTTAATAAGAGTTAATTGGTTTAAATAAACAACATAATCTTATTTAAAGCAAACCTTTGAATCTTAAAATTAAAATATAACATATTCATATTAAAACCATAACTTAGTTATTTTGATTTAACTAAAATTATCAACATAATATTGTTTATATGAATCTTATAAACAATATTAAAGTCAATTTTTCTAATAAAGGCTGTACACTTTTATAATTTATTAGTAATTATTATCAAAATAATTAAATCAAAATGGGGAATAAATCATCTAAAAGCAAGAAAGACTGTTTTATGACGATGTAAGTTGGAAAAAGATAGCCTATTTAAGTGATAATAAGATTATTCGATTAATAATGTCCAAAAACTTGTGAAAATTTCAGAAAATTGTGTTAAACTAAATATGGGGGAACAAACTTTCATAGATGTTCTGAAAATTTCATAGCTCAAGGAGGAGATTATGAGAGAGGCGACGGAACAGGAGGTACTAGTATATGGGGAAAATATTTCAAGGATGAAAACTTTAATATTAGACATGATAAAAGAGGAATTGTTTCAATGGCTAATAGAGGAGTTAATACAAATGGATCTTAATTCTTCTTTACCTTAACTGCTTGTCCACAACTTGATGGCAAACATGTTGCATTCGGAGAAATAATATCTGGTTTTGAAATTTTAGATGAGATATCTGAAATATCTACTTATGGAGGAGATCCTAAAGAATTAGTTCAAATACTAACAGCAGGAGTTTGTTGATAAAAATTTTAATAAAATAGAATATTATAGATCAGAATCATGATAATTAGTTTTGAAGAAGGTTTTGTATTCTTTTCGAAGCATTCATCTGTAGTCTTCTAATGAGACTTGTTTTTATTTGTTAATGCTTCTTTGTATCAACCTTGAATCGTGATTTATGAATTAATTTTATAACATCAATTTTATTCTAAAAGCTAACTTTCTAGTTCAAGTCTTGAAATTTTACAACTTGTGATAAGACAAAGTCTAATCAATAGTGAAAACAATATTGTTAGATAAACAGAATCACTTTAATTTAGATGATTGAATACATGTAACAATTAAGTCTAATTTCTAAAAAACTGGACCTACTATATTATGAAATTATTGGTTTTGATATTGTACAACTAAAATAAAGTAAAAACTATCAATCCTAATTACTTATTTTCTTAGAATGATATTTCATTGATGAATGAAAGTTAGAGTTATTCAATAACTTAGATTGAATATGCTAACCTATTATATATTTTTTATTAAACAATAATAAGTTAAATGTAAGGAAAAGCCAAAAAAGGATAAAGGAAAGCAAAAGCAGGTCATTCATTCCGTTAAGAGCTTAGTGAAAAGTAAAAGAAGGATATCAAAGAAGCTTTTGACTTATTCGATGTTGATGGATCAGGTTGTTACAAAAATTTAATTATTTATAGGTACGATTGATGAAAAAGAATTAAAAGTAGCTCTACGTGCTTTAGGCTTTGAACCAGGAAAAGAAGAAATCTAAAACTTAAAATAAAATCTTAATAATAACAACGATTCAAAGGAAAATAAAAATACAATTGATTTCAATGAGTTTCTTCAAATCATGACAGAGAAAATGGTATACATTTTATGTTGATTGGTATTTAGAATGCAAAAGAATCTTAGGAAGAAATAGAAAGAGCTTTTCATTTATTTTCTTAAGGTAATGATAATTTCATCACTTTTGAAAACTTAAAAAAGGTAGCTCTTGAATTAGGAGAAACAATGTCAGATGACGAATTAAAATTGATGATTTAGGAAGCTAATAGCAAAAACCCAAGGTAAAATCATTGAAATATATATGTTAGTTAAGGGTATGTGACAAAGGATTAATTTTATGATGTTTTATCCAGAGCGACTAATTAATGAATAATAATTAGAAATTCAATAATCTTATATCATCTACGTTATTAAAGATATTCATGCTGAAAGAATTCCTTTACTTCTTCATTTGGCGGACTGAAATTAGAGAAGGTGTCACTGGCTTCAACATCTTCATTTCTCTCATCGTCATTAATTTCCTACACTGCAGAAAACTAGCATTTTCTCTAATCCTAAATATATTACTGGATATCAAAGAAGGTGTCTGTTTCAGCGCTATTCTACTATTGTAATGGATTATTATTAAATTTGTTTACAGTGCCCTATTGTTTTTTATTACTTCCTCGATCTCTTTAGGTCTCCCTATATTAGAGCTTATCTTAATCAACAAGAGGTTTAATTTTAGATTCCACATTCTATAGATAGGCAGGCAATTTCTTAGGTGAATTATTCTATTTCTATTTATCCGTTTAATGATGAATGACTTACCCAGGGTATTGCCTATAAGAAAGACCACCACTAGTGTGAGAGGAGTAAACTAACTATTAAGGCGAAGGACCTTTACCAAAGTATCTACCTCTGTCTGAGTTTTTGGAATCTCCATAAATCAATTTTTTGCTAGAATATGATGGAATTATTGATTACATCTATCGATCATCAAATTAGGGCTTGATATCGAATTTGTTATGCATATTGTTGATGTATACAATTTAAGGGGGAGGAGGAGATTCAGTAATTTTTGGAGTTAGATTTCTTTAGGAGTGAGATATTGAATTATTTAATTTATGAGGAGTACGATCACTTAAGCGAACTGGAGATTTTGATTGTGATCTGTGTGTGTTATATGTTTAATGTTTGTTTTGGTAATGATGCGGATGTACATAATTATCCTCATTCTATTCATATTATTCGTATCGATTTGAATTAACCTAGGTTGGCTTCATGTATTTTTTATGTGTTTCTTAAACATTTTTATTATTTTCTCTTTAAGAAATTTAGATTAGATCATTTAAGTCTCTGATTTGTTTTTGAATTGTTTTTATTTCATTTTTTATATCTCCTGAAGTTTGTTCCTTAATGTTTTCTGCGATATATAATGTAATATTGATACTTGATAGTTGTTTTAATTAGTAATATAATTCTTTTGGGTTTCTAGTTCCTATCTTATTTGCCAAATCTATTCCCATAGTTATCAAGAATTCAACCACCTAATTTTGTTTCTATAGGCCGAATTGGGTGAGAAAACTCTCTATGAAAGAAGAATGGTATAAATGAAATTGCATTATAAATATAAATTTTTAATTTAACAATAAAAATTATTTTCTTACTTGTCTGACAAACTTTTGGTTTTGAATTTTGATATCTTATCAATTTTTGCTACTCTTTTAGAGTGTATATTGAGTTAATTAATAATATAGATTTTCTAATGAATCAAAATTAACAATTAGAATTGAGTAAAGAGAAAGTCCCTTTATTCAAATTTATTCTCATTGGAGATTAATGTATTAAGAATTTTCAACTTAGCTGTTGGAAAAAGCTGTATTGTGTAACGCTATCAAAATGAGGAGTTTAAGCATAACATTAAAGCAACAATAGGAGTGGAATTCATCAAAAAATTAGTTTAGGTTGATAAAGGGTTGGTGGAACTGTAAATATGGGATACAGTATTTATTCAAAATCTCAATTTTTTCATTAGGCTGGTTAGGAATAATTTCGTAGTGTGATTAGAGGATTTTATCGTGGATCGGCAGCTGTCTTCATTGTATATAGTGTCAACTAAAAAGAATCATTTGATTAATTATCAATTTGGATGAATGAAATAGAATAACACGCACACCCTGAGATTATTAAAGTTTTAGTTGGGAACAAATGTGATTTATCAAGAGAAGTTCAAACAGAAGAGGCTGAGTCTTTTATGAATAATAATAAATTTAGTTTATTTTTTGAAACATCTGCAAAAACTGGAGAAAATGTAGAGGAAGTATAAATAACCATATTGTTTCTTTAGGCATTTATATAATCAGCTAAGTTAGTGCTATTAAAGTATTTTAGTAGTGAATCATTTAGATAAGCTACAAGAGTAAATAAAAAGTCAGCTGATCCCATTAATATAATTAAATCATTTTCTGAAACCTAATCATTTGAAGGGCAGTCTCCAAATATATAGAAAAATTAAAATTAATCAAGTTGTTGTTGATCATTATTTCTAAGTTAAATTTAGTAATTTTATAAAATCTTTATCAAACTTATTTTCTACAAAATCACACGATTTAAGATAAACTAAATAATTGATCAATATTATTTTATATGTTTCCAAAAATTTCTAAAATTAATTATCATTCAGCAAATTATTAAATGTAATAGAATTACAAAAACTATGATGATGTTAATTAAAATAACTAAAAAAATTGAACTAATCTAATGGAGTAGCAAGAAGGATTCTTCCAAGAATTGAAACAAATCTACGATATTAAAATACCCATTCCAAAACCATCAGTCATTTAATAAGAACATCCCTAGAAGTTTTTATTTTATTTTGATCTAACAAATACTCAAAGATACTCTAATGAAATGTCAAAGTTAGCGATTAATAATAGTAAAGAAAGATAATGGAAAGGTGGATAAATATTCTAGTTTTAATTTAATAATTAAAAAAGAGAATAATAATCTATTTTCTGCTATTACTTCAATAATTTACTATAAGATGATGAACAACAAATTAACATAAACAATTTATTGAGATTTAGAATGTTTTTTTAGGAATTTATTAAAACTTAAAATAATATTTAGATAAAATTTGTGTTTCACTTTCTAAGAAAGAATTAAAATGATAAGCAATTTGAAGATCTGATAATAAATTGTATTTATTAAATTCTTGATGGATCTTTCGAAAAGTTATCAGATATCATATGTGTGTATAATAGAGAGAATGAAGAGGATATGAATTATTGTAAGATTTCATCTAAAAAAATACATTTTAATAAAAGTAAATTATAGGATAAAATTGACATTTCTTATATTATTTTATTGGATGAATTTTTGAATTACTTTTAAAATAAATTGGGTGTTCCTAATTGGATAGGATTTATATGCTATAAGTATGTATAATCTTAGGTTGATGTAGTATTAAAAGAATTTGAGAAAGAACTTTTACAACTTTATAAAGACATATTGCTAATGATTGAATTCCCGGTCAATCTGAATAATCAAATAGACTCTAATTAAAATGTTTCACAATATTTAGATAAATTGAAAACTCTTATTTCTGATATATGCATAATATTAAATGAATAGAACTTTTACGATATGGCATTATAATTTAAAAAGGTCATACATATTAATAGAGAGAAAATGATATAATATCTAAACACTATTGTTAAAGAAAATACTGAATTTGAAATTTATTTGAAAATAAATTAAAAAGATAAATAACCTAATTAAGTGTTTAATTAATTGCTTCAATTTCAATTTCAATTACATAAATCTGATATTGAAATTTTAGAAAAATTAAAGATGTATTAATACAATGAAGATGTTATAAAGAAAACTTTGTTTCGGATTAAGTTGGACATAAATTAATAGTTTAAGTAATTTGATTTATATCTTCCATAAAGCTTAGCATATGTTAAGAGAATAATTCCTCAACAATAAAATATCAATTTAGATAAACCACATGTTTTTGTATTTGGTATGGCAAGAGTTGGGAAAAGTACATTTCTGAATATAGTTAATGATCCAGAGAATATTATTATTACTTAGCATAAGAAGTTTGATGTAAAAGTAAAGAATAATAAAATTCTGTTGTCTCATTCAAATGGTAGTTAAACATTTTAGACAGAAAATTTGGAGATTGGTGATTTTATATTTGTTGATACTCCTGGATTACATGATACTTATTATATTAATAGAGGTATTAATCATTTCAATATCTTTAATTCAATAACTAGAGTAAGTTAACAAATTATATTGTTGATGATTGATGGAGAACAGCTTTAAACAACTAAAAATGATTTAATCGATTCAATAACTATAATTAATAACATGCTAGGAAAATAAAAAGACGAACATCTTGAAAATTTTATCATTCCTGTATTCACTAAAATTAGAAATGCTTCTACTATAGAAGAAATAATTATCAAATGGTAAACTGAGACAATGAAAGATATTACAGATCAGAAATAATTAAAAATTTTGAATATCATTAAAAAAGCACTAGATCAAGAAAATTATATCAAAATTTATTAGGCAGAGTGCTATGAAATCCATGAAGAAGTGCAGTAATTGGAATCAGAAATTAAAAAGTTAGAAGCTTAATATATTGATCTTGATGAAGAGAAAGTGGAAGACCGCTAGGCACTAAAAGCATAAATCAAACTAAAAAGATAGAAGTTAAAAGATCTGAGATAAGAGAATTTATTCTTAAAAAAAATACAAAATATTAGGGAAGATGTTTTAGAGAAATGTTAAAATTTGTTACAAAGGAGGGAAGAAATATTGTAAGAAAATTAAGATATTGTTTTGAATTTTGAATTCTAGTTAACTCCTGAATTGAAGTAACATATAGATAAGTTATTACCTCATCGAACCAAATTTTATCAACATCACTTAACCATTATAACAAATAATTTAATTGCTACAATGCTTTTTGATGATTCCATAAGTATAAATGATAAGGTTAGTGAATTATATAAATTAAACAATATGAAAATTGACAGAATTTCAGATATACCAGGCAATCTAATTAGTTGTGAAATATAAAACCAGATTAAAGAACTTGATTGTATTAAAAATATCATGAAAATATCTGATGAAACTATGGATCCTTAAAAAGTTGATTTTAAATATTTTTTAACTTAATGCAGAATTCTTTTTGAACCTATTACTGATTCTGCATCTATTCATCATGAAGGAACAGAAATTCTGTATTATTCTTGGAAAAAATTAGGTGATATTAAAAAAATTGGATGGCTAATACCTACTGTTTTTGTAGCATGCTATCTTATTCCTGCTATTTCAATATCAGCAGTGTGTGAATTAGTCAGAAAAANGGATTAAGTTGGACATAAATTAATAGTTTAAGTAATTTGATTTATATCTTCCATAAAGCTTAGCATATGTTAAGAGAATAATTCCTCAACAATAAAATATCAATTTAGATAAACCACATGTTTTTGTATTTGGTATGGCAAGAGTTGGGAAAAGTACATTTCTGAATATAGTTAATGATCCAGAGAATATTATTATTACTTAGCATAAGAAGTTTGATGTAAAAGTAAAGAATAATAAAATTCTGTTGTCTCATTCAAATGGTAGTTAAACATTTTAGACAGAAAATTTGGAGATTGGTGATTTTATATTTGTTGATACTCCTGGATTACATGATACTTATTATATTAATAGAGGTATTAATCATTTCAATATCTTTAATTCAATAACTAGAGTAAGTTAACAAATTATATTGTTGATGATTGATGGAGAACAGCTTTAAACAACTAAAAATGATTTAATCGATTCAATAACTATAATTAATAACATGCTAGGAAAATAAAAAGACGAACATCTTGAAAATTTTATCATTCCTGTATTCACTAAAATTAGAAATGCTTCTACTATAGAAGAAATAATTATCAAATGGTAAACTGAGACAATGAAAGATATTACAGATCAGAAATAATTAAAAATTTTGAATATCATTAAAAAAGCACTAGATCAAGAAAATTATATCAAAATTTATTAGGCAGAGTGCTATGAAATCCATGAAGAAGTGCAGTAATTGGAATCAGAAATTAAAAAGTTAGAAGCTTAATATATTGATCTTGATGAAGAGAAAGTGGAAGACCGCTAGGCACTAAAAGCATAAATCAAACTAAAAAGATAGAAGTTAAAAGATCTGAGATAAGAGAATTTATTCTTAAAAAAAATACAAAATATTAGGGAAGATGTTTTAGAGAAATGTTAAAATTTGTTACAAAGGAGGGAAGAAATATTGTAAGAAAATTAAGATATTGTTTTGAATTTTGAATTCTAGTTAACTCCTGAATTGAAGTAACATATAGATAAGTTATTACCTCATCGAACCAAATTTTATCAACATCACTTAACCATTATAACAAATAATTTAATTGCTACAATGCTTTTTGATGATTCCATAAGTATAAATGATAAGGTTAGTGAATTATATAAATTAAACAATATGAAAATTGACAGAATTTCAGATATACCAGGCAATCTAATTAGTTGTGAAATATAAAACCAGATTAAAGAACTTGATTGTATTAAAAATATCATGAAAATATCTGATGAAACTATGGATCCTTAAAAAGTTGATTTTAAATATTTTTTAACTTAATGCAGAATTCTTTTTGAACCTATTACTGATTCTGCATCTATTCATCATGAAGGAACAGAAATTCTGTATTATTCTTGGAAAAAATTAGGTGATATTAAAAAAATTGGATGGCTAATACCTACTGTTTTTGTAGCATGCTATCTTATTCCTGCTATTTCAATATCAGCAGTGTGTGAATTAGTCAGAAAAAGTGTTTTTGTAAGTGATATAGAAAACGAAAAATAAGAGAAACTAAAATTCTTAAAGATTCAGAAAAACTATGAAACATTAGTCAAGATAGGAAGTAGATGAGTTTTTGTATCAATATAAAATAGTACAACATTACTTATATAATATCAAATGGTTTGGAAAGCCAATTCTTTATAAATAATTTTTAAATTTATATTTGCTCTCAGTCATGGTTATGTTTCAATATTTTAAATAATGAACTAGTAATTTTCAACTTATTCAACCTTATTTTAGTATAAATTCTTACTGACATAGTAGAAGAAAAGATTACTTTTTTATTAATAAATTCTATAATTCTTTTTTAAATTACTTATAATATTAATTTATGAGAAAATTGTAGTGCATATTGTTTTTTGTGTTATTATTTTTGACGATTTTTAAAGAGGTAAAATGTTAAAACATATCATTTTATAAGAGATAATGAAAGTAGAAATAATTAACTAAAAATAATATTCAAATAATCTTATAGATATGAATAAATTTATATTAAATATTGAATAGGAGATCAGATATTCATTTTTATGGAGTATTTTGATATTGTTCTAGATCGTTTACAAATTAGAAGTGATTCATATCATGAAAATCTTGATTGCTATCATTTTTTATTGGATCAATAAAGTATCCTTAAGTTTTTCGACTGATGGATTTAAATTCTACTTCTTTATTGAATGTAAATAAAAACTGATCTGGATATGATTGTTCTAGTAATTACTTAGTTTCTTCAGAGACTTAGACTTTTCCTCTTTCTCCATTAGACTCCATTTTATTAGAAATCATAACATCAGCCCCATAAACATCATATCTTACAATTTCAGTTCCCAAGATTCCTCCAATCACTTTACCCTAATATTGAATATGATAAATACTGTATGTATTCCAATCCTCATGTCTAATCCATCAAATTAGATAATTGATCTCACTTATCTAATAATTTCTATCATTTTAAATCCTAATTCAACAACATTTTTGGCTTCTTGAGCTGGATTTCTTTATGTAACATCCACAATGCCGAATGCAACATAACAATCTCCAATTGTATATAGTTTATAAGCATTTTGTGTTAAACATATTTTGTCGAATTCAGTAAATAAATTCCTCAACATATTCACAACTTATTCAGGTTCTACTCTACTTGAGTATTCAGTGAAACCAGCTATATCTGCAAATAATAGAGTAGCTTCTTCAAATTGATCTACTAAGACCATTCTTTAATTACTATTAGATAAGAATTGTTTTAATATATGAGTAGGTAATAGATACTTCACTAGATTTTAAGTTTATAATTTTTTTAGTTCTAAAGATCTTTTATTATTGAAAGTACCTAAATCCTAGAAAAATAAATGATATTGAACTATAAACATCATGCAACTTTAAAAAATAGTGTAATATGCAATGGCACCATCCTTATAATGAATCAATACTATTAATAATTATGCGATAAAAAGACAAAGATTAAAATAAACCTTGTATTTAATCTTGATAATTGAAAGTGAGCAGAAGAAACAAATTAATAGAATTCCTTCTGCTGCTTATAACTCCACTGACTTCTCAGGCATCAAAAGGAATTCTACAAGAATACTAATTAATATGCCAAAGTAAGTTATTAAAAAGTATTAATATTTATAAAATCTATGCTTTAACTTTTTGTGTTGTAAAATAGCCAAAGTCAATAACAAGATGGAAACTATAAATCGAATTACAAATACTAGAACCCAATTCTATTAATCTTACAAATACAATAGTGTAACAGTCTTCGATATGAACTAAATGAAATGTAGAGAAAGCATAAATACTATATTTATACCCTCTTTCTAATCCATGAATTCTTATGCGAGTTCTTTTTAATTATGTTTGAAATCTAAATAGAATTTAGTTTTTTCTAACTATAAATCTTCACTTTGAAATTGTTCATCTTCATCAAATTATATTTTTTCAATTTCAATTTCATAATCTGGTGCTTCATCTAATATTTCAATATAGAGATCTCTTCTTAATTTTTATGATAGATCATGAAGAAGATTCGTTTAATTTTTATCAAAAAATGAGTCATCCTTTAAATTATTAGAATGAACACTCTCTTCTGCCTAATAAACAACAATAGGTGGTAAATTTCTGTTACTCTAATTTTGAATATTGTTTTGACTACCAGAATGTTATAATTGTATCCCGCCTCCCATCTTTTAACCATCTTATGCTTTCATTATCAACGTAGGTCCTCTTTGACCCCTTTTTCTCAAAACTTAAATATCCTTAGATTATATACAATCTTTCACTAAACTGAAACTAGTCCCATTATTCTCAACATTCTATTCCCTCTCCATTCTTACATTATTCTCTTTCGGATATACATCCAATTGTTTTATCGTGGATCAGCAGCTGTCTTCAATATACTAAAAATTGTAAGAATTTATAGGTATTTAGATCATTTATATAAATATAGATCTGGAGATATTTAATCATTTTTAAGTTAATGAGAAATTTAACAGACAATTTATATTTGGATTAATTTATAGAATTCCTTTTGAATGTTAGTTTTTAAACATTATATACTTAAAAGAATCATTTGATTAATTGTCAATTTGGATGAATAAAATAGAATAACACACACACCCTGAGATTATTCAAGTTTTAGTTGGGAACAAATGTGATTTATCAAGAGAAGTTCAAATAGAAGAAGCTGAGTCTTTTATGAATAATAATAAATTTAGTTTATTTTTTGAAACATCTGCAAAAACTGGAGAAAATGTAGAGGAAGTATAAATAACCATATTGTTTCTTTAGGCATTTATATAATCAGCTAAGTTAGTGCTATTAAAGTATTTTAGTAGTGAATCATTTAGATAAGCTACAAGAGTAAATAAAAAGTCAGCTGATCCCATTAATATAATTAAATCATTTTCTGAAACCTAATCATTTGAAGGGCAGTCTCCAAATATATAGAAAAATTAAAATTAATCAAGTTGTTGTTGATCATTATTTCTAAGTTAAATTTAGTAATTTTATAAAATCTTTATCAAACTTATTTTCTACAAAATCACACGATTTAAGATAAACTAAATAATTGATCAATATTATTTTATATGTTTCCAAAAATTTCTAAAATTAATTATCATTCAGCAAATTATTAAATGTAATAGAATTACAAAAACTATGATGATGTTAATTAAAATAACTAAAAAAATTGAACTAATCTAATGGAGTAGCAAGAAGGATTCTTCCAAGAATTGAAACAAATCTACGATATTAAAATACCCATTCCAAAACCATCAGTCATTTAATAAGAACATCCCTAGAAGTTTTTATTTTATTTTGATCTAACAAATACTCAAAGATACTCTAATGAAATGTCAAAGTTAGCGATTAATAATAGTAAAGAAAGATAATGGAAAGGTGGATAAATATTCTAGTTTTAATTTAATAATTAAAAAAGAGAATAATAATCTATTTTCTGCTATTACTTCAATAATTTACTATAAGATGATGAACAACAAATTAACATAAACAATTTATTGAGATTTAGAATGTTTTTTTAGGAATTTATTAAAACTTAAAATAATATTTAGATAAAATTTGTGTTTCACTTTCTAAGAAAGAATTAAAATGATAAGCAATTTGAAGATCTGATAATAAATTGTATTTATTAAATTCTTGATGGATCTTTCGAAAAGTTATCAGATATCATATGTGTGTATAATAGAGAGAATGAAGAGGATATGAATTATTGTAAGATTTCATCTAAAAAAATACATTTTAATAAAAGTAAATTATAGGATAAAATTGACATTTCTTATATTATTTTATTGGATGAATTTTTGAATTACTTTTAAAATAAATTGGGTGTTCCTAATTGGATAGGATTTATATGCTATAAGTATGTATAATCTTAGGTTGATGTAGTATTAAAAGAATTTGAGAAAGAACTTTTACAACTTTATAAAGACATATTGCTAATGATTGAATTCCCGGTCAATCTGAATAATCAAATAGACTCTAATTAAAATGTTTCACAATATTTAGATAAATTGAAAACTCTTATTTCTGATATATGCATAATATTAAATGAATAGAACTTTTACGATATGGCATTATAATTTAAAAAGGTCATACATATTAATAGAGAGAAAATGATATAATATCTAAACACTATTGTTAAAGAAAATACTGAATTTGAAATTTATTTGAAAATAAATTAAAAAGATAAATAACCTAATTAAGTGTTTAATTAATTGCTTCAATTTCAATTTCAATTACATAAATCTGATATTGAAATTTTAGAAAAATTAAAGATGTATTAATACAATGAAGATGTTATAAAGAAAACTTTGTTTCGGATTAAGTTGGACATAAATTAATAGTTTAAGTAATTTGATTTATATCTTCCATAAAGCTTAGCATATGTTAAGAGAATAATTCCTCAACAATAAAATATCAATTTAGATAAACCACATGTTTTTGTATTTGGTATGGCAAGAGTTGGGAAAAGTACATTTCTGAATATAGTTAATGATCCAGAGAATATTATTATTACTTAGCATAAGAAGTTTGATGTAAAAGTAAAGAATAATAAAATTCTGTTGTCTCATTCAAATGGTAGTTAAACATTTTAGACAGAAAATTTGGAGATTGGTGATTTTATATTTGTTGATACTCCTGGATTACATGATACTTATTATATTAATAGAGGTATTAATCATTTCAATATCTTTAATTCAATAACTAGAGTAAGTTAACAAATTATATTGTTGATGATTGATGGAGAACAGCTTTAAACAACTAAAAATGATTTAATCGATTCAATAACTATAATTAATAACATGCTAGGAAAATAAAAAGACGAACATCTTGAAAATTTTATCATTCCTGTATTCACTAAAATTAGAAATGCTTCTACTATAGAAGAAATAATTATCAAATGGTAAACTGAGACAATGAAAGATATTACAGATCAGAAATAATTAAAAATTTTGAATATCATTAAAAAAGCACTAGATCAAGAAAATTATATCAAAATTTATTAGGCAGAGTGCTATGAAATCCATGAAGAAGTGCAGTAATTGGAATCAGAAATTAAAAAGTTAGAAGCTTAATATATTGATCTTGATGAAGAGAAAGTGGAAGACCGCTAGGCACTAAAAGCATAAATCAAACTAAAAAGATAGAAGTTAAAAGATCTGAGATAAGAGAATTTATTCTTAAAAAAAATACAAAATATTAGGGAAGATGTTTTAGAGAAATGTTAAAATTTGTTACAAAGGAGGGAAGAAATATTGTAAGAAAATTAAGATATTGTTTTGAATTTTGAATTCTAGTTAACTCCTGAATTGAAGTAACATATAGATAAGTTATTACCTCATCGAACCAAATTTTATCAACATCACTTAACCATTATAACAAATAATTTAATTGCTACAATGCTTTTTGATGATTCCATAAGTATAAATGATAAGGTTAGTGAATTATATAAATTAAACAATATGAAAATTGACAGAATTTCAGATATACCAGGCAATCTAATTAGTTGTGAAATATAAAACCAGATTAAAGAACTTGATTGTATTAAAAATATCATGAAAATATCTGATGAAACTATGGATCCTTAAAAAGTTGATTTTAAATATTTTTTAACTTAATGCAGAATTCTTTTTGAACCTATTACTGATTCTGCATCTATTCATCATGAAGGAACAGAAATTCTGTATTATTCTTGGAAAAAATTAGGTGATATTAAAAAAATTGGATGGCTAATACCTACTGTTTTTGTAGCATGCTATCTTATTCCTGCTATTTCAATATCAGCAGTGTGTGAATTAGTCAGAAAAAGTGTTTTTGTAAGTGATATAGAAAACGAAAAATAAGAGAAACTAAAATTCTTAAAGATTCAGAAAAACTATGAAACATTAGTCAAGATAGGAAGTAGATGAGTTTTTGTATCAATATAAAATAGTACAACATTACTTATATAATATCAAATGGTTTGGAAAGCCAATTCTTTATAAATAATTTTTAAATTTATATTTGCTCTCAGTCATGGTTATGTTTCAATATTTTAAATAATGAACTAGTAATTTTCAACTTATTCAACCTTATTTTAGTATAAATTCTTACTGACATAGTAGAAGAAAAGATTACTTTTTTATTAATAAATTCTATAATTCTTTTTTAAATTACTTATAATATTAATTTATGAGAAAATTGTAGTGCATATTGTTTTTTGTGTTATTATTTTTGACGATTTTTAAAGAGGTAAAATGTTAAAACATATCATTTTATAAGAGATAATGAAAGTAGAAATAATTAACTAAAAATAATATTCAAATAATCTTATAGATATGAATAAATTTATATTAAATATTGAATAGGAGATCAGATATTCATTTTTATGGAGTATTTTGATATTGTTCTAGATCGTTTACAAATTAGAAGTGATTCATATCATGAAAATCTTGATTGCTATCATTTTTTATTGGATCAATAAAGTATCCTTAAGTTTTTCGACTGATGGATTTAAATTCTACTTCTTTATTGAATGTAAATAAAAACTGATCTGGATATGATTGTTCTAGTAATTACTTAGTTTCTTCAGAGACTTAGACTTTTCCTCTTTCTCCATTAGACTCCATTTTATTAGAAATCATAACATCAGCCCCATAAACATCATATCTTACAATTTCAGTTCCCAAGATTCCTCCAATCACTTTACCCTAATATTGAATATGATAAATACTGTATGTATTCCAATCCTCATGTCTAATCCATCAAATTAGATAATTGATCTCACTTATCTAATAATTTCTATCATTTTAAATCCTAATTCAACAACATTTTTGGCTTCTTGAGCTGGATTTCTTTATGTAACATCCACAATGCCGAATGCAACATAACAATCTCCAATTGTATATAGTTTATAAGCATTTTGTGTTAAACATATTTTGTCGAATTCAGTAAATAAATTCCTCAACATATTCACAACTTATTCAGGTTCTACTCTACTTGAGTATTCAGTGAAACCAGCTATATCTGCAAATAATAGAGTAGCTTCTTCAAATTGATCTACTAAGACCATTCTTTAATTACTATTAGATAAGAATTGTTTTAATATATGAGTAGGTAATAGATACTTCACTAGATTTTAAGTTTATAATTTTTTTAGTTCTAAAGATCTTTTATTATTGAAAGTACCTAAATCCTAGAAAAATAAATGATATTGAACTATAAACATCATGCAACTTTAAAAAATAGTGTAATATGCAATGGCACCATCCTTATAATGAATCAATACTATTAATAATTATGCGATAAAAAGACAAAGATTAAAATAAACCTTGTATTTAATCTTGATAATTGAAAGTGAGCAGAAGAAACAAATTAATAGAATTCCTTCTGCTGCTTATAACTCCACTGACTTCTCAGGCATCAAAAGGAATTCTACAAGAATACTAATTAATATGCCAAAGTAAGTTATTAAAAAGTATTAATATTTATAAAATCTATGCTTTAACTTTTTGTGTTGTAAAATAGCCAAAGTCAATAACAAGATGGAAACTATAAATCGAATTACAAATACTAGAACCCAATTCTATTAATCTTACAAATACAATAGTGTAACAGTCTTCGATATGAACTAAATGAAATGTAGAGAAAGCATAAATACTATATTTATACCCTCTTTCTAATCCATGAATTCTTATGCGAGTTCTTTTTAATTATGTTTGAAATCTAAATAGAATTTAGTTTTTTCTAACTATAAATCTTCACTTTGAAATTGTTCATCTTCATCAAATTATATTTTTTCAATTTCAATTTCATAATCTGGTGCTTCATCTAATATTTCAATATAGAGATCTCTTCTTAATTTTTATGATAGATCATGAAGAAGATTCGTTTAATTTTTATCAAAAAATGAGTCATCCTTTAAATTATTAGAATGAACACTCTCTTCTGCCTAATAAACAACAATAGGTGGTAAATTTCTGTTACTCTAATTTTGAATATTGTTTTGACTACCAGAATGTTATAATTGTATCCCGCCTCCCATCTTTTAACCATCTTATGCTTTCATTATCAACGTAGGTCCTCTTTGACCCCTTTTTCTCAAAACTTGAATATCCTTAGATTATATAGAATCTTTCACTAAACTGAAACTAGTCCCATTATTCTCAACATTCTATTCCCTCTCCATTCTTACATTATTCTCTTTCGGATATACATCCAATTGTTTTATCTATTAAGGGACTTTCAATTATCTGAAATCAGTTTTAGGAGTGACAGGATCCAATTTGGTTAGTGTGGGCATATCTTATTATGAAGCATCAATTTTTGGAACTAGTCCCTTCTTTTTTCTTACTTTTTTATCAGTGTTTCTTTTTATGGAGGTTACAATTTGCCAAGTAGTCAATTCTCCTTTTCCCTTAGCATTTACTTTAAGCTAGTTGAATTACAAATCTGGCATGTTTAGTTCCATGTAAGCTTCGTTGGAGAGGGTGATTTCTCCATCTTAACCAGTTGAACACACTCTACTTGTTGTATTAACAGTGTCACCTATTAATGAAAATTGTGGTTTATGATGACCAATCACACCAGCAATGACACGGCCATAATGAACTCCAATTTTGATTTTAACGCTGCCAGATTATCCAAACTTGAATTTTTTAGCGTATTCCATCATTTCTAAAGATAATTAAACAGCCTTTAGATATTATATATTAATACTCTTTTTACTGCACTTTGATTGATGAATTTGGTTCCCTAATCGACAGCCTTTAAACCTCCAGCTGCCATAAATGTCTTACCAACAGTTTCTATCTTTTGCATTCCATTTGAGACACACAAGCCATCAAATCCTCTAAATAAACTATCTAATAAATTAACAATATTTTCTTTTTCTACAGCTATGAGATCATCAAATCCACAAATGTCACAAAATAAAATTGAAACTTCCCCCTAATTTTCTTAAATCTCAAATACTCCCTCTAAAATTAATTAGAACTATAAATATACTTGCATTAATTCTATCTCTAATAAATTTTGGTAATAAAATTGATAACACATTAGTCATAGAAGTTGTTTCTTGATTAAGAGTTGCAGCCAACATAAAATCTTACTTTTCCATCATATGTAATTTGTACTAAAGTGATATAAATAAGATCAAAGTGACTAAAACTATTAAATCTCCGTTTATTATTTTGTAGTAATCAGTTCCCAAACTAAACTTTCTTAGAAATCCGACAACAGACAGTGTAGCTATGATAAAATTTAATAGAGGGATGTGCAACCTTGAGAACGTAATGATTAAGATATAACACTAACTTAATAGGATATCATAGGTTCCTTCTTATTAAAAGTCTGAAATCATTTTTGTAAGCAATCTAATGCAAGCAATGATTAGATTTATTTAAAAAAAATGTTTCAAATAAATTCCTGAACAGATTATTATTTGTATTATTACTTAGCTGCTTATACTCAAGATGTAGATTATAAAATAGGTTTAAGATTGAATTTCATATCTATAGGTGAGGGAATAGATCATCAAAGCAAAAACTTCCAAAAATATTAGAGATAACCCTAGTTTGATTCTTTCAAATTGAATCCAAATTAATTTTGATAGCCTTTTAAACTTCATTTCAGTATCTTTATTTAAGAACCTCAAAGTAAATTTATTTATTCTATCTTGATTAACTTTCAATTCGCAAATGATGTCTTAAATAGATATATCCATTTCATCTTTGTTCTTCTTAAATACTTTCCCAGCCAACTAAGCGAATCTTTTTATAAGATTGTGATATCTCTTTGCTCCATTTTTCTATGATTTTTACAGATAGACCTATACTTCTTAAAATTAAGCCTTATCGATTAGAGATGAACAAAATAATGGTTGAATATATTCAATTACATTGCTTAGACAAAATTAAGTAAAACCATAATAAATGAAAGCCAACCACGTTGAAGGCACTGTAAACAATTCTAAAAAGCTCTCCATATTTTGAAAATAAGCAGACAAGATTGAAGTCATCAACCAACATGTTAAATAAGTAGCAATAAAAGTTATCCAAGTATATTTGGAGTAAGCTGTGGATACCACTAATTTTACAATATCACTTAAGATCAAGAGTATTAATACCATTTATTTAAAGGTGTCAAATTAGATTTCATCTATTATTTGTAATGATTAATAAAATAATGCAGCATCCAACATGGCATTTCCATTAATTTTCAAGATGAATGACAAAACTTTCTTCTTTTTGAAAATCTTAATATTGTGTTTGAATTGCTCAATATAAGTGATAGAATCCTTGTCATATTATCGATCTAACTTTGATTTCAGGCTCACTATTTATTAAATGAACAGTAAAATACTCTAATAAACAGTCAACCAAGCCCCTGTAAATATAGTTTGATTCTAGCTACAATAAGTTGCATAAAGAAAAAATAAAATGTAAATTATGAGCAAGGATCTATAGAAAGAAAAGACCAATAAATCATCATAGACTTCAGCAAAAATTCTGCTTTCAAAGAACATCAAGCCACTCAAATCTAGATAATCTTTTAGACAAATATCTGATGTAGGAACAACCCACATTTCATTTTATAGGAATTTTCGATTCAAAGGATTATCCAAAGATTTGTTTGAAGTAACCTTACGGTTGAGTTTCAACTTGGTACTTCCTCTTTGATATTATTGGATTTAAATTGGATAGTGGCAATATTGAACTCCTATATTTGATTAACAGAACATATAATTATCATTGTATGAATCACCAACAGCCAGAACTCTTTTATTGCCAATGAATTGAGTCTGTATGATTTGAATTATAGTAGCTTTTTATTTTTAATCCATTTTGTAAGCAATTAAAGAGTTGCTAAAGTAAAGGAGAAATTAGAAATGACTTAATAAGCAACTGTCCTACAAAATAGTGTTGAAATATTCTCCACTCAAGACAATACTATATGATTTGACTTCAGGATAGACAGCTTACTTTTCCTCCAAGGTTAGTGTTCGATGATGTCTGTCAAGAGTGCTCATTCTCATTGGTTTTGAACCCCATGATTCATCTAATTTTAAGGACTATGAAAGGATGGTCAAATGATTCTTGATAACCACTCTAGCATTATCATTATCTAGGTATAACAGAATATCATTTTAATTGAGTATTTTGGATTTGAATGCTACTGGTAAGACTCTTGTTAAATCATCTCCACTCAGCATATAAAGACTGAGTTCGGCAGATTTCATTTGATTTATTAGCATTTTAGTGTCTTTTCTAATTAATTCTTTGACTCCAATGACTTGGACAATTTGCATATCTTTTGAGATTTATTGAAATGCAGACATTCCTTCTTCACCTTAGAATCGAGACATAAAAATGCTGGCATCTTTCTCCTTCAGATACACTTTTGAGTAGATGACTGATCTCATTCCACTCATATGCAATTTTTGGAATACTTTATCCCAGTATTCTCTGCTGGATTTGTCCACATCAATATTTACAGGTAATTAGTTTGTTTCTTCTCTCAAAATAAATATATATTAAAGACTTTCCATTGGATCCTGCTCATTTATTAACATGAACTTCTCTTATAGTTTATCTGGATAAAGTATCAGTATTCCCAACTAATTGCTTCCATTGTGATATACAGCCATAACTTAAAATTCCAATACTTCTCCAAAGAAATCCACGATGTAAACAACTTTCCCATTGTATTCATTACAACATAAAAATTTAATATCTAACAGACCTACAAATCTCAGCACTTCCTAATCAAATGAGTATGATGATGAATCATGCATAAATTGATCTTCACTAGGAGAATATCTTGATACTATTTCTTAACAAAGTAAAAGCGACAATACAGATTCTTAATACATTAACTTATTCTATCCGTGAATAAGATACTTATAGAAATCGTTCTCTCCATGATAAACTATTTCTACCTCCTCTTCAATGGCTCTGTCCAATTAAAATGACTTTTTTGCACTATATTGCCTTTTCATATCAGATTAAGAATGCTCTAAAAATTTCTTACTCCTTATTGATCTGCTATTTTCAAAAGATTTCTGCTCTTCCTTATATGATTGCTACTTAATCAGCAATTCTTCTTCTTAGGACAGACTTAATCCTCCTTAACTAGCTCCAACCATTTGTACAGGTGCTGTAACGATAGCCTTCTTATTGAAAAAAGGTCTTGGCTTTACATTGCATAATTCAGGCGTAACTTTATAATGAGTATCATCAAAATCTTCTACTCTCATATTTTCGATTTCTACATCCATGTCATCTAATGGATTTGCTATACTCCTACTTGATGCTAGTTCTGATTTATTAAAATCACAACTGGACATCTTCTTAGAATTCCAGTGCTACAAGGTTAATTTAAATATTCCCGTATGTCTTACCTTTTTCGATTGTACATCGGCATCTGATTCATCTATTTCCTCGATCTAAAAGTTCGGATCATTTTTTATTTAATTCTACAATTGATCCTTAAATGTATTCCACTGATTCTTAATCATGTTATTGTGATTAAACTTATACATCGTATCTTCAACTATTATGGCATGAATCCTCTACTCCCCATTAGTGATTGTGCCTGTCTTATCAAAACATACAAATTCAGTCATTACCATGTCCCCCACAGACACAGGATTTAGTTATAAATAGTCTATATTAGTACTTTTGTACCCTGTATATGTTGTATATTTTATGTGAGCATTGATAACTTCAATCAAATCTATACAGTTATAGAAATAGATTGGTGTTGTTTTTAAATACTGCAATAGATAAAATATTAGAGTTGGAGTATTAAAATCTGCTTAATTATAAGGTAAACAAGCAGCAAATGATGCCAAAAACCAACTGATCAGAGAAACTATTAATGAAATCCCCAGAGTCAGGGCAAAGAACATACTCGACTTTTAAACAAAAAACGATTTCTTCTCAGATTTCTTCATATTTAAATAACAAAAGCAGCTATTCCCTGTTTGCAAGACTATTCCAATTACATATTAGCAGGTTCTGATTTGTTCTTCTCTGAAAATAATGTTTTTGTTATCAAAATATTCTCCCTTTGGATCCTTTTTTAATTTAATAAATCCATTTATTTATGATTCAGTAATATTATATTAAATTGATCCTGTGAGCAACTTCTTATAATCAAAGCCCTGAATTCTGTTTCTCCCATTTTTTAACATAGTTAATTACGTTGGTTATCTGGTTTAATCTAGAGTTACTCCTTAGAAGTTTTGGGTTTGAACTTATAGAATCTCGTCTGAAACATCAAGCAAAAGCATGTCAGCTGGACACACTTCATTTCGTTTTAGATATATAATGTCACCTTGTTCGACGCATCCCCAAAAACAATTCTCATATAATGATATTTTGGGTTTTTTATATGAAGATTACTGCTGTTATTATTATGTTACTAGGTATTTTGGTTTATCTTTTCTAAGTTTACGAAAGCGTGTGACTCTTCTATTATTAACTACAGCATCTTGTGTTCTCTTTATATGGTCAAAGTAGAGTGCTTTCGATATCTATAGGACAAAATGCATTGTTAGAGGAAGCACATAAACAACAACTTCTTCTTCGGTTGCCCCAAAAACTGCGTAATGAAGTATCATGACTATGAAATAAATAACAACGCCAATTCTCTCAAATTACTTGAGAAATAAGCTCATGATTGTAAAATTGATCAAGGTACTTTTAACTTTGTTGTCACTTTGATTTAGCATGTTCACGCATTCTCCTTGTTCCATTTCTAACTGTGATATGTACTCTTATTTACATGGTATTTGTACTTAATCTGCTTGGTGGTCACATTTTAGTATTTGCTTTTCAAATATTCAAAAATTAAAAGCGAAAGAGATTTCATAATATTTTATTGGTATTTTTAAACTTAAATTGCACACTTTAGATGACAAGAGACAAATTAATAAAAGAGTTGTAATCAAACATACTCTATACGATGACAACTTTTGAGAATTTATACCAATACAATATTATCTACATTTAATTTAGATATAACATAAAAATACATAATTATAATAATTAGATGTTTAAATTTTGATACATTAACTAATTTTATTAGTTCATGGATCATCAAACAATTGAAATTAGGTTTAAAATCAAAGTAAAAGGAGTTTATTCTAGGTGCCTATAATTGACATTTATTGTACTTCCCTAAAGGAAATTATGCCTCCTTCTCAATGTAAAGATTTTATATCCTATTCTACGAAGATTAACATTTGAAACAAATAGCTCTAAGATGATCTTCGAAGCAGTCTGATTGAATCTCTGAAATAATTGATTGACTAGGGTAAAATTCTAATTAAAATGAGAATAGCTACTATAATATTTTAAAAAAATTACAATTTTTGTCGAATAGATATTTTTCTGGTTTCGATAGGCTCATTTTATCGCAAGATATTCTAAATATATAAACTATTTATTATTAGTGACATTCTTTGCTCAACTATTCCTTTAAATAATCCTGCATTCAAAATTTCTGAATTTGTCAATTATTATTCAAAGAGTGTTTAATTAACTTCACTATTACTTTCAAATAAACTATATGAAACAAAAACACTCTATCTGAAATATACTATTCCATCTATTGAACTTAGAAAATATAAACAAAAAGTATTTAATTTAGTGTATCATTCTAAACTAAACTATCTTATTCTATTGAACATTGTTATAAAAGTCTATATTGTTATGGTTTTGATTGGATGATATCTTCTTTTGATAAATAACTTAAAATTAGTTTAGAATGTCCTTTCAATTTTCAAAACCTTAAATATTTAGCTTCAATGTAAGTTTGTTTCACTAGTAATATAATTATAAGCATTTAATCTAACTTTCTTCTCAATCAATTTCTAATATATTATTTACTTTTGTATATATGGAAATATAAATATCTTAATAAATTCTTAAAATTTTAATTATTTTCGAATTGTAGCTTATCTAAATGATTCACTACTAAAATACTTTAATAGCACTAACTTAGCTGATTATATAAATGCCTAAAGAAACAATATGGTTATTTATACTTCCTCTACATTTTCTCCAGTTTTTGCAGATGTTTCAAAAAATAAACTAAATTTATTATTATTCATAAAAGACTCAGCTTCTTCTATTTGAACTTCTCTTGATAAATCACATTTGTTCCCAACTAAAACTTGAATAATCTCAGGGTGTGTGTGTTATTCTATTTTATTCATCCAAATTGACAATTAATCAAATGATTCTTTTAAGTATATAATGTTTAAAAACTAACATTCAAAAGGAATTCTATAAATTAATCCAAATATAAATTGTCTGTTAAATTTCTCATTAACTTAAAAATGATTAAATATCTCCAGATCTATATTTATATAAATGATCTAAATACCTATAAATTCTTACAATTTTTAGTATATTGAAGACAGCTGCTGATCCACGATAAAACAATTGGATGTATATCCGAAAGAGAATAATGTAAGAATGGAGAGGGAATAGAATGTTGAGAATAATGGGACTAGTTTCAGTTTAGTGAAAGATTGTATATAATCTAAGGATATTTAAGTTTTGAGAAAAAGGGGTCAAAGAGGACCTACGTTGATAATGAAAGCATAAGATGGTTAAAAGATGGGAGGCGGGATACAATTATAACATTCTGGTAGTCAAAACAATATTCAAAATTAGAGTAACAGAAATTTACCACCTATTGTTGTTTATTAGGCAGAAGAGAGTGTTCATTCTAATAATTTAAAGGATGATTCATTTTTTGATAAAAATTAAACGAATCTTCTTCATGATCTATCATAAAAATTAAGAAGAGATCTCTATATTGAAATATTAGATGAAGCACCAGATTATGAAATTGAAATTGAAAAAATATAATTTGATGAAGATGAACAATTTCAAAGTGAAGATTTATAGTTAGAAAAAACTAAATTCTATTTAGATTTCAAACATAATTAAAAAGAACTCGCATAAGAATTCATGGATTAGAAAGAGGGTATAAATATAGTATTTATGCTTTCTCTACATTTCATTTAGTTCATATCGAAGACTGTTACACTATTGTATTTGTAAGATTAATAGAATTGGGTTCTAGTATTTGTAATTCGATTTATAGTTTCCATCTTGTTATTGACTTTGGCTATTTTACAACACAAAAAGTTAAAGCATAGATTTTATAAATATTAATACTTTTTAATAACTTACTTTGGCATATTAATTAGTATTCTTGTAGAATTCCTTTTGATGCCTGAGAAGTCAGTGGAGTTATAAGCAGCAGAAGGAATTCTATTAATTTGTTTCTTCTGCTCACTTTCAATTATCAAGATTAAATACAAGGTTTATTTTAATCTTTGTCTTTTTATCGCATAATTATTAATAGTATTGAT